TCTTTTTACCTAATTTACCTTGAACTTCTACAACTTTAGACTCATAATATTCATAGTCGTCTGCTTTCTTTGGTTCATAAGGTATAACAAGTTTGTATGCTTTACCTTCTTCGAGTTTTGAGAACTTCTTGTCAAAATTTTCTTTGACTGTCAACATAACCGTCAATGTATAAGTCTTCAAAAGTTGCACCACTTTTTCTAACAACAGCAAACTTAACTGGTGCAATGTTCCAAATTTTGTCAAATGTAGACTTTTCAAATTGTAGAAGTAAACATTCAAATATGCGAATGGAGCTAACTTATCTTTGACTTCTGTCATGTACTTATTTACTGAGATGAATTTCGTCATCTTTTCTATCGGATAAAAAAATTTTTTTAAAATTTACTCAGAAAAATTTTTCTTTGTATATACACCATTCTGAACATCTAAAAGACTTTTGACATTTGCCAAGAATGTTCGTTTAGAAGCTGCCATATAACCATATTCTTGACAATATTGTTTATACGAATCGTACAATGACCTTTCATCTAATGACACAAAGTCAGTTTCATCTATGAACAGTTCATAAACACTCTTGTTTGCTTCTAACAATGTTTGTCTCTCTTCGGTATGTGGAATTTGTCTTGGATTGAACTTAGAAATATCTAATGTCATGAAATATGAGAACAAGTGGTTGTAAAAGTCAGATGTCAAAGTTTCTGCTAAGTCGTCAAAATATTCTGTATCTTGCATATGAGAATCTGACGTTCTGACAACTACATATCTTCTGTCAGAACTTTCTAACTTCATCGGAACAGCATTGTTTGAAACCATAATGAAGTTTGCAACATTTTCACAAACTCTTTGGTCTTTATATTTTCTTTCAACAACTCCAACTTTGTCTGTTATAAGACTCTTCAAAGCATCTGAGTTCAAAATTTTTGTTGTATCTATACTTTGAAGTTCATTGCAAACTATAAGTTTCATATTTCAATAGAAAGTTAAATTTACCGCAAGATGTTTTCTAAGTTTGTCATATTCGGATTCGAATAGCCCTCTAACAGTTTGCACAAGATATCTGTAAAGAATGTGTTCTTACCTGTTCCTTGTTTTCCAATTATAATGAGAGCAGTTTCATTTTTAGCACTTGGATGTTGTAAGATATTTGCAACCAACATAAGATATACTCATAGACTCTTTCGTTTCCATTGCATATAATTTCTTTGACATGGTCTAACCAAGCTTCTATAATACTGTGTTTCCATTCTACTTGTTCGTATTTATATCCAGTGAAGATAGAATAGAAGTTTGGAGAAGGTGTATAGAACTTTATACCTCGAACTGAAAATCTTCTAACTTTGACAATAAGATATCCAAGCAAGCATCTAACATCTTCATTCCAACTTGTACAACTTTTATTTTCTTAAGTTTCTGTCTACATTCTTGTTCAGACACTATTGTTGCTCTTGGTTTGTTAAAGACAACATCGCATTCTTTCATGACATAACATTCTGGGGCAGAGTCAACATAAATGACTAAACGTTTCAAATTCTCGACTGCTTTGTTATAGTCTCTAAATGGACACATATTTCTGAATGCTTGGAAGTCATAAAAATCTGAAAACATCTATTCTGTACATTTTATAAAAATAAAAAAAATATTATTTTTTTATTCTTGACTTTGTTGTTCCATTTGTTGCATTTGTTGTTCTTGAGCTATTTGTTGTTGAAGTTGTTCTTGTAATACAATACTTTCACGACAGTTGCATCTTCCAATTCGAAACTTTCTGCCGTCATTGACAAATACATAGGACATAAAAGTTTTACAGGAACAAAGTTTGCGTCAACTAATGTCAACGTTATACTTGCAAAGTGTTTGAGTTCACTAAGGTTGAAAATTCTGCATTCGAATGAACAATAGGCAAACCAGCAGAGAAAGTATTGTTTATACGCATAAGTATCTTTTGGTCATAATAGTTTTCTGTCGACATTCGAATAACACTTTGAACCTAAGTTTGAAACAATATATAAGATTGGTGTGCTTAATGTCAATGGAATAGACATTCCTTGTATGACACCTTTCCTGTTATAGGAAACTGTTGGTAGTAAAACCAGAAATAAGTTTTGTATTATAGCTCATATCGTTTATAGTAAACTCAGTCGGACATCCAAACATAATGAAACCTGCTCTAGTTGCAGCACATGTTACATCCGTCCTTAAAGTATTAAATAAGTCAACAAAACCTGTTGGTGGTATATCTGAGTAAGTATCTTCAAAGGAGTATTTTTTACCATTCACAACAATAAAGTCTCTGGTGTCAAAAGAGCAAAACAGGCTTTAGTCGTCATTGTGTTTAAGGTTAGTTTACAATATCGTCCTTGAGGACTTTGTAAGTTTGTTGTTATAGAATTATATGACTCAGGGTTTTTAGTCGTAATAGTATAAACCATTATGTCTTCTGCCATTTACTTAGCAAATAAATTTTAATGAAATGTTGTGGTCGTCAAATATTTTTATAACATCTGGGAAACTATACTTTAAGTTCAACGTTTCACCTCCTTTCATAACGTATATCTTGTCAATGACATTATATGAAACACCACAGCAAGCAATGTCGGGTTCTATTTCTTTGATGTTTATATCGTCTGCCTCTGTCAAAAGTTTCAATAGTTCTTTCAAAACTTCATGAGGTGCAATGACATATGAGTTCACTTTTACAGGGTTGTGTTCGACCAAGTTTAACATTATACTTAAAGCTTGACAAATCTTCTCCTGAGTTTTAAGTTTGTCTTTCAGTTGTTGGTAGTCGTTTCGAATATCTGCAACAGAACTTAAGTCTCTGCTAACTTCAGGATATGTTGGTTGTTCTTTCACAGGAACAATTGTTATATCATCTTCGTCTTCGTATGGTTTCCCCACTTCAACATCTCTGTCTTTGACATTGACAACAACACTTTGACTGTTTGTTTGAGTTGGTGAATTTAACTTCACATCTGCCACCGCCATTAAACCTTTTGAAACACTTACGCTTCTATTTTTCGGAAATGACATTTTACTTAGAATAAAAAGATGGACGTATTCGGATATCTCTTCGAATTGAAGCAAAACAAGGTTTATACTCACAAACAATACAAATACATTGACAGAATAGTTCTTTACACAAACAATGGAAAATGTTATAGAATAGCAGTCTTTGCTGAACCTAAATATTTTCATAAAGCAAAGAAAGTTGGTATAACCGAGATGGTGAAAGTTCTTGACGTTGACAAAAATATAACTTCAAAACTGACCGATATTACTAAAGGAAAGTTTATAATACAATATTATGTCAAAACTGGCGTACTGTCAATATTTGACGGAGAGAAGTCAGTTCAAGAACAACTTACTGACCTGCTGCCAAAATCTGCTCGATGGAAGCTGTCGTTATGCCAATCTGAGGAGCCCCAGCAGGTTTCATCGAACGAATCTTCAAAAGAGCATCTTCCGTGAAAAGTGCTATTGGTTTTGTAAACTTCTTTGCTTTCAATTCATCTGGACCGTCTCTGTCACCAGTATATTGTATTTGTACAGTACCAACAGTTGAAATACCACCCATAAAGTCTTCTGAGTCAGCAAATGGAATGCCAAGCCAAAAGTTTGAACGGTCTCCATTTGTATATTGAGTTTTTTGACCTCCTGTATGAGTCCATACTTTCACATATGGCATAATAGAACTTTGCATTTCAGGGTTAATAGTTGTTGTGAAGTTGTTGTTAAAGTTCATAGCATCTAATGTCAAGTTGTATGACCTCATATCCTCAACTGTAGAATATTCTTCTCTTGGATAATATTTGCCATCTATGTTTATATGATATTTAATACCAGGGTTGTAGAAACAAGAATAGTCATTTATAGTTCGTCTGAACAGTAACAAACATAGTATCTGCATGTTTCATTGCAGTTGTTAAGCAATATCTGTTCTTGCACCTGGTCAGCACTTTGGTTTCCAACTTCACCTGCAAAGTCTTTGACAGATATTTGGTGTATAGGGAACATAAGTGGAACTGCAATATATTTGGCAGCTAAAGCATTTGAAATATCTGGGTCCAACATATAGACTGCAAGTCTGCTTTCTATTCTCTTGCATTCAAATTTTTCGCATGTGAACTTAACTGGGTCCCAAGCAGTTCCACCAGCATTGAAATAATAGTTTACTTCAGTGTTGAAGTTTGAGAAACCAAAGTCTAAGTCAACTTTGTCTTTGCAAAAGTCGGCGAATGACGTTTGATTTGTTCCTTTACGTCTGTAAGAGTGAATGGGTCTTGTGTTGGTGCAATGACTAAGTTATTTTTGCTTGGAGTAAGTTCGATAGAAATTTTTCCTGCCCAGTTTGGCAAGTATCTTAAAAACCTGAAGATGAGGAAAGATTGACAAAGGAACTCTAAGTTTCAGTTTTACTTTGGTTACTGCTGCTGCAGTTTGTTCAGAAAGGTTAACATAAACTCCTGGAACGTTAGGGTCAAGTCTTCTTATTTTCTCAATAGTTGCATACTGGTCTGTTTGTTCTCTAGCTTGTGGTTGTACTGAGTTTCTCAAAGCGAACCATTCATAGTTTGCCCATGTTACTGTTTGAACTAAGTCAGAGTTAGAATATATCTTATATCCATGAAAACTTCTGGAGCATATTGGTATCCGACATAGAAAATTCCATTGCAACCTTTCTTGTCAGACAACTTGGCAGAAGGTTTTATTTCAATGTCTTGTTCCACGTATAAGAATGAGTTGTCAATAGAAATAATATGAAACCTGTCGCAAGCAATATCTACTGTTGTTGAAGAACCTTCTCCAAACTCACCTACGTTTCCATAAGAAACAGCAGTTGTATATTCGTAAGTTCCAGGAACTATTTCTGACCTTCTAATGGCATTGTCGCATTCGTTATACCATTCGGAAACATTTCCGTTCATGGCATCCAAAACTGTTGGCGTTATATTCTGAGCGGCGTACATTTCATATGGGTAAAAATATAGAATAGTTGAATTTATGTGTCATAATAGAACCCACTCGTACCAAGCTTTACTTTCTTCCTGACTGAGTTTTGTTGCATCTTTGCCTTATGTTCACCTAGTATGTTGTAAATTTCCCATGTCCTTTTTGCCTTTGGGCTCTGGTCGCCCATCTCAGGTAACCTATATCCTAGAAAGATTTTGTCATAGTCTGTATTTGAGTCTTCGCTTATTGTTTGCATGACTCTTTCCTGAGTTTCCGGTTCAAGCTCTTCAAACAGTGCCTGACCATATGGAATATGCTCGTTTCCAAATATATGTTTTTGTAGCCATTCTGGTTTTCTTTCCATGTAACCAATAATATCTTTTGTGAATGGGAAAGCTTTTACCCAATGTTCCAGTCTTGCGTCATTTATTTCTGTAGTTGGTTTTATTTTGTCAAGGAACATGTTTTTCAATACTAACATTTCATTTGGTACTGTCCATTTGAGTTTTCTTAAATATTCATCCCTTTTCTGTTCATTGTCTGCAAAGTAAGTTTTTATGACATTTTGCAAACTTTCGTTTGCAAGGTCATGTACAATAGGTTCTCTTCCTTCTCTCTCCCTAACTCTCTTTCTAAACTCTTCACCAAATATACCATCTCTATGGTTCTGTGTAGTTCTTTGAGATAAATGTTCTAGAACGTCAGGTGTTATATTTCCATCAGCCATGTTCATTTCATACTGGTTCAAAATATCTGCATCTTTCATATCTTTCAATGGCATTAAAGCCGCGCTGAAAATACCAGCTATATCTGGTTCACCATTCACTTCCATTGCGTCTACAACTTCTTGGAATTGAGGTTGTAAGTTTATGAACCACCTATCCGGATTAGCTTTATGACCCCATCTCATTGTAGTTCCATCGTCTGCAGAAACAAAAGTAGGTTTGTTTCCATATTGGTTAGGTTCTGAATGAACTTTAAACAATGTTTCATTTCTATATGTTTTGTTGAAATTTAACCTTTTATTTTCACCGAGTTCATCCAAAGATTGAACGTTATATGCTCGTAAGTAAAAAGGATTGTTGTATTTGCGTACATTTTCTTTCAGTTCTTCCATTCTTTGCTGAATATTTTCATCTGGTGTTGGAGTCTTTTGTATGTCGGTGAACATTTTTCGATATTCTTCTACTATGTCAGCCGAATTTTTTTTAGACTCTTGGAAAGATTCCATATTCACCTCATACTCTTGTTGAGGGTCAAGATTTTTCGGCTGTTCCAAATCTTCATCTAGTTCTGTGAAGTTAGTTTCCAAAGGAGGGACTTGTTCGTTTCCTTCAGGCTCTTCTAGCTGTTGTTGCTGAACTATTTCTTCCATGTCTGGTTGTATCTGAACTTCTTCCTGTGGAGTTTCTTGTACCTCATCTGCTGGCATTTCATATATTCCGAGACCGTTTTCAACAATTTCCCTATCTACGTCATCCGCATTCATAAGCCTTTCTTCTTTCGTTCCGTCTCTATTTTTTACGCGTTTCATGACGAAAGTTGTATTGTCATTTAGCTCTGACATCAAATATCTCGGAGTAAATTCGTTCATGTCATTTGGATGATATGCTATTAAATCATATCCCTTAGCGAGCTTGTATTTTCCAGGTTTGAAATTATATCCCATTTGGTGCTGAGTCATAAAGCTAAATAGGTTCGGGTCAGTATTTCCATCCTTGAACTTTCTAATAGCTTCTTTATATCTGTCACTAAAGTCAACAGTATCTGGGAAACCACACTTTTCTTTAAGCATTTTTAAGAATTCTTGGTTTCCTTGTTCTGTTTGTGCTGGTTGTTGTGCTGGTTGTGGAGGTGGTTGTGGTGCTGGATTTTGAACTGTTGGTTGCTGTGCTGGATTTTGAACTGTTGGTTGTTGTTGTTGTGCTGGATTTTGAACTGTTGGTTTTGGTTGTTGTTGTGGTGCATGCCTGTGTCTGTGTCCATGTGACGATGTAAATGTTTTAGGTAGTCCTGGTGCAGGTGCTTCTCTTGGAGGGTTTGGTGGTATATAAGTTCCACTAGCTAGTATATAAGTTCCACCAGCTGGTATATAAGTTCCACCAGCTGGCACATATGTTCCATCTGCAGCATAATGTCCTACCTGACTTTTCGTTTTTAAGAAAGCATTTACTAGGTCTGTTTTGGTCTGTTGTAACTCTTTTTCTTGACTTTCCACAACAGTTGCTCTAACGGCGTCATAGGCACTTTGAACTGCCTGTCTCGTTGCTGCATCTGTTATTTTCGTCATATTTTGTGCTACTTCTTTTAACTCTTTGTCGAAACCTTCAGACTTCAGTTTCTTTCCAGATGAGAAGTCGTTCACTAGTTTCACCTTACTATGAAGAGCTTCGAAGGCGTTCTTAAAGTCAGCATTCATTAAAGCTTCATTTGAACTGTCTTCATCCGCTTGTATTTTTGTCCTTATTGACCCTATAAGTTGGGCTGCTTTAGCGTTGGCTTGGGCATCTAACCAGTCATTATTAGCTTTTATATATTCTGCGCTTTTCATTGCCTTTTGCATGGCTGCGTCGTTATTTTTACTTTCTTGTGCTAAGTTTTCATACTGTACGGTTTGGTTTTGCAACTGTAAAAGTTTTTCTGCCTTTACATTTGCTTCAACTTCTTTTTTATACTCATCGCTATCCATATATGTCTTCAGGGCTTTTTGTTTTATCTCTTCATCTTTCAGTACTTTATATTGAGTAGTATGGTTTTTCAAATTTATAACATCTTGTTCCATTTTTGCTACTTCTGCTGCTTTTTCTGACACTTTTTTCGCATATTCCTCTGTACTTAGTTCTTTCAGTTGTTCTTCTTTCTTCTTTTTCTCTACGTTTAACTCATTGAGTTTCTTTGTGTGTCTGTCATATTCTAGTTTCTTTTCGTTTTCACTTATTTGTTTCTGTATGTCTATGTTTGACTTTTTGACATCTGTTATTTGATTTTTGAGTGAACTCAAATTCATTTGACTTTGAGGGTTATAAGCTGTTCCGTCTGCAGCTCCACCATAGCCTGCCATTTTCGCTAAAAGTGCCGCTCTTAAACCTCCACTCTGTGCACCAATAACTCGGTTTAAAAGCATAGGGTTGCTTGACATTTGTTGCAACATAGTGGGGTCATTCATCATTTGTTGTTGCAACTGTTGTTGTGGTGTCAGTTTTACTTTTGGATGTTTCAATGCTCCCTTCCTCTTACGTATATTCTTACGTAGCTTACGTGGCATTTTAAGTGAAGTAAAAAACGGTTTTTGACAGATGTTTATATGACACTTTTTGTTCAGCACAAAAAACTACTCGGTCAAAGTGTTGTCAGTTTTGTAAAATAACCGTCCTATCTCATTCTATAAGGGAAAAAGGCTTCTCAAAGTATACTTCCTTGGAACGCCTGTAACTTTTCCTGTAGCGACGATAGACCCTTACTTGTCCGGACAAAGTTATACTATTTTGAGTGCTCTACAAAAAAGTCAATAGCTGGTCGGCTGGGGTTCGGTCCTCCTCTTGGGTCTTGGGAAAAATTTCTTATGGGCTAGAGGGCGCAACGCGCCTGAAAGCCCTCCGAATATAAACTTCATTTATGTGGGCTAGAAGGGGCGCAGCCCCTGGAAGGCCACCCCAAGAAAAAAAAAAACTTCATTATACCAATCATCCTCAGGGCTAGAAGGCACGAAGTGCCTGGAAGCCCCACTACCTTTTTTTTTTTTTTTTTTTTTTTGAATATAATTTAATATGAACTATTATATTATAGTTGAGATTGTTTGTCAAAACGGTTTTTTGACAAGTAAGAATTCAATTTTTCAAAAATATATTCAAAAAATTGAATGATATCTCAACATCTAAGAAAAAACTTTTAGTTCCTCTCTGTCATTTTGTTGGTAAAATTATATAGTTTCTATCGACACTATCAGTATACCCAGCTGTGAAAGGTATATTGAGGAATTAGGTTTGCAAGATTGTAATTTTTGTTATTTTTTTCCAAATTGAGAGGATTTTTGACGATAGAGTTGGACTATTTTTGAACAACAATTTCATTACCTTAAGCTATACATGGCACGGCGGGCGCAAAAAGTGACAAAATAGAATACCTATGGTGGCAAGACAAAGGAAACATTTTTGTAAGGCAAACATTATATCAAATACCTTTACTTTGTAATAAGAAATATAATTATCACGAAATTACAAATAAATATTGTTTAATATAATTAATAGCAAAATTCTTTTTTATTATTTCCCTTAAGACCTTACTTATTAAGTATACGTATAACAAGCTTGTACTGCATGTATTAGTTAATAGAACAAAAGAAAATGAGCTCAAATGAAAAAAATTTTCATGCTATTTTGGAAATATGCATATTCGAAGTATGAGAGTTGTAAACACTGAGAATTTTAAGCTTTGGTTGATGATAGTCTTTAATTTTTCTTGAAGTAGTAAATTATTTGATATGAAAATTTAATGGCCAGCATAATCAATCGTGCGTTTCGTTTCTTGATTGAGAAACGATGATTGTGTGCTAATGAATTATTGCGTCTGAAAGGTTATGATTATGGATACCTGAAATTAAGCTTTTATGGGAAACATCACCGAGCGCCATTTGGCGCCCCTAATGCTGTTTCTATCGGTATGATTAAGGAGCTTTCTTATGCACTTTCATCACTTGAACTTGAACGCTACAAGATATATGCCCCCCTCCCAATGGGAGCAAAAATTGAAATGTTTACATTGATTTTTGAATACTTTACAAGCGCCCCTCCCAGTGGGCGCGGGCGCAAGTGATCGGGTCAAAAAAAATCATAAAAATATTCAAAATTGCGATTTTAATAGATGTTTAAGAAGTAAATTTATTAATAACGATATTTCATAGTACAAAATGTGTTCAATCTCTTCGTAAATCATTCAAAAAAATCAAAAGAATTTCCAAAATTCAATTTTTTAGTAAAATTTATATCTTTTTCTATCGTCTCCTCCCCACCAGTGGGAGCCACCGGAGGCGCGGGCGGCGCCGCGGGCGCCAAAAAAGTAGCGCCCATCGTGCCATGTATACCTTAAGCATTATAATAATTTGAAAAAATTTTATGACGCAATAGTATAAGTTATAATTTATTAATTTCAAAAAGAAATGACCAAAAAAATTCCTTTCCAATATGTTGAATCAAATCGATTTTATAAATAAAATTTAAACCTTAAACTTGATTTTTATAAAAGTGACATTTTTTAACTTTCAATAACTTAATCCATGGTAAGAAGCTAATCCAATCATATAAAAATGTTATAATTAACCACATGTTTATTCATTTATGATATCATTTTGCTTCAAAATCTATAATTCTAAAATTCAACTATAATATCACTTTTTGGCAGAATCTAAAGATTTTTTATTTGTAAAAGTTTTAATAATATGATAAGATTTATATATGCTATCACAATATAGTATAATCATATAATATTACTCTATCGCTATATATGTCGAATATTAAAAATTTGTATATTAAGGGTCCACTGTAAAAATTGAAAGTCTCTCAAAATTGAGAGGCGATTTGCAAATAATCGTTATCGTCATTTTTCGAAAATCCACTTTTCCTAGTGTTCTGATTAATATTATGTGAATACAACAATGAAGCATATGTTTCAATAAGATGATAATATATTCTATCACTTCAAATCTCATAAAAATTGCAAAATCAGTGAGTTTTATAAGAACATGATTTTTTCGAATTTTTTCGCTTTTGGATGCGTGTTTTGAAAAATAGATATTTTCGAATTTTAATTTTATCTTAAGTATAAATTTTATATTAGGAATTTTTTTGACCTATTTCCAATCATTAATTCCAATGTTTTTCAAGGAATTTAATTGAGAAGAAATTAGGAATTTCGCTTTAATGCCATTACAAACTAATATTATGATGCATAATATATATATTTATTGAGGCTAATGCCGGGATATCTTGCATTTAAAAAAAATTCAAAGAATTGACAATTGGATAGCACAAATTTAATTCTCTAGACAAAGTATTATTGTTTATATATTCAAACCATTATCCTTAGTTTAGATATGTTGGCCAAAAATTTTCGTGTTATTTT